AGGCCCTTTATGCGTAGGTTTCTTTTGTATTAGGATAATACACAGCGACAAGTAAACAATACTTTAATAACTTATAATATTTTAAAATTAAATAATAATGACAGATTTTCAACTAAATTTTTATATAAAAGTAACTTATTACATTTGTTAACTTTGTTAACAACAATATAATTGTTGTTAAAACACCTTATGCCCATACTCTTTACATATAAATTCTTTTTCTATAACTTTTCAAGCAGCAAAATTAATTAAAAGCATAAAAATTGTCTCTATGGATATACACAACTTCTTTATCTACGATTCAATGTCAATAAAAGAAATCATATACAAAAATTTTGTGTTTTGTATTAATATATAACATATAATTGTACTAAAATTATACAAATATTACAAATTGTAATAATATAAATTATTAAAATAAAATATTATTTTAAAAACTTTTATTTTGAACAAAAATTAAACTCATAAGTACATACTATGCATAAATCATGTACTCATAGCATCAAAATATCAAACAAACAAAAAACAAGTATACATACAGAATCGAAATGCTTTCAAAAACCAATACAAAATGAAAGTGATCTAATTTTTTGGTGCAACGCTTTGCTTTGCATTTTATGCAAAGACTTTGCAGTGAAATTTTTATTTGCAAAGTGCAAAGTAAATTATGTTAAGTCTTTGGTGCAACGCTTTTCACTTTTACTTTGCAAAAAAAAGTCACTCATAAATTTTGCAAAGTGAAAAGTGAAAAGTGTTGGTGCAACAGGGCCCAGGCAAAGAATCTATAGTACAAAGAAGTGCCACGCTCATACAAACGAAATACCCACTTTATTTTGCTGGTGGATTTATAATAAATCCACCCACCTCATGCAACAATGCTCGATCGAGTCACAACTGGTATGATGTCCAGTTCAAACTCATTGCAACCCACAATTGTTTTTTATACGCCTGTTTCTTTGCCTTTCTTGTTTTTATTTGTCTATTTAATTAATATGCATGGATTAGTAACGAAGTGAATGGTAAAGAAATCCCTCAAATTATTTTTCCATATACTTTGTTGCTTTATCTTCTTGTATTGGAAAGGCCCATATCATAGGAGTAAAGAGTAATAGAATATATTATTTTTTTTATTGCAACAAAATGATGCACTACAAAAACTATTATGTATGTACAAATGTGATATTGAAGACATTAAGTCTGCAGAATATTAATATGTATGTTTTTATTGCACATTTGTGCATATATTTTACCTCAAAAGGAACTACTTCTTAATACCCCTGTAAAATAATTATATGTGCAAAATTTGTTTTTCGTTATTCTCTTCTTAGAATAATGGTACTAATTTTTTTTATATACAGTTGATTCTGTAGTTAAGTTTAACTTTTCTAAACATATATAGAGTTTTTTTTGTATACTATTTGTGGTACCGTTATCATAATTAATAACAATAGGTAGCAAATTTAATAGAAAATAATTATATGTGCAAAATTGTTTTGCTTCTCGAAGTGTCAACAGTAAATGGAAATAAAGTTGTGAAGTGTATTATAAAGTTTTTTTTTTAAAGTATTGAAGAGTAATGAAGAATTGGTAAGTAAAATACTTATCATTTATTAATAAATATTTATTATTTTAATTAATTTAGATAAAATATGCCGCGTGGGACGGAATTTTCAAGTGAAGAGTGCGGAAAGATTATTGGAATGAGTCTTGCTGGGATGAAAAGTGGCGAAATATCTGCTGCTGGTTATAGACACCTGAATACTATAATAAACTTTTTAAAAAATCTCGAAAACTATGGTGTTATAAGCGAGACGGCCGCTTACCAACTATGAACAACCGAACAAAACGGCATATTCAGCTTCTTGCTACCAATGAGAGGATGAGTTGCAGACAAATAAGAAATGAATTAGATTTGTCTATCACTAGGAAATGCGTGCAACAAATTATGAAAAACGACTTAAAGCTAAAATATGAGTCGAAAGTTCCCAAACCGTGCCTTACACAAAGACTTAAAAATGCTAGTTTAGCTTTTTATGACAAAATTAAGTTTTGAGACAAGGAGTTCGAAACAGTTGTTTTCAGTGATGAAAAAAAGTTTAATCTAGATGGTCCAGATGGTCAACATAAATATTGGAGAGATATTCGTCATCCACGTCAGAATTGCAACAAACGCAACCATGGTGGTGGTTCACTAATGGTGTGGGCTGCCTTTAGCTCGAAGGAAAAGTCTAATATATGCTTCGCACTATCAAAAATGAATTCCGAAATATACATAAATCTGTTGGATAGCGAACTGATAAATTTCGCTGAAAATATTCATTGAGATAATTGGACTTTCCAACAGGATAATGCTCCAATACATGTTTCTTGTGCAAAAAGAAATTCTTTGAAGAGAGAAGCATCCCATTGCTAGATTGGCCGGCCATGAGTTCTGACATAAATTCAATTGAGGATCTTTGGTGTATCCTTAGTGCCAATAATTATGCTTATTCGAAGCAATACGACACTCCTAAAGAGCTGAAAAAGGACATACTGGACGAATGGGCCAAAATTGACCTCCTACTATTAAAAAAATTGGTAGATTCAATGCCACTTAGGATACAGTTAATAAAAATAAATAATGGAAACACATCACCTTATTGAAAAATAAAAAAAATTAAATCACATAAAATATTTAATTGTTTTTAGCAAAAAATGTGAATTGCACATATAAATATTTTCTATGAAGATTTAAAATAAAGTTAATTTTTCTCTTAAAAAAAATTAATTTGAATAAAATTTTTTTATTATTTTAATTAGACTACTAAACATAAAAACAAATAATAAACTAAATTCACCCTAACAAAATTTTTTGAAGTTTAAATTAGTTTTTAAGTACTGCACATATAATTATTTTACTGGGGTAGTTTGAATTTTTGGCGACTTTGTGATTATTTTAAAAAATATTTTTAAGATTCATATAAAAGTGTTTGAAAAGTATTTTAAAGAAAATAAAAATATTAGAAATGTAAGAAAAATTATGATGAAAAAATGTGTAGAAGTCACTAAAACCACTAATAATGTCTCCTGATTTGAGGAAACGCATGAATGCTATTTACACCGGATTGAAATGTTAAAATTGGTGTTTACGATATTGTTTCGAAAACATTGCGCATGGACAACATTTAAAAATAAAGCTTCATAGAATGGAAAAAATCAGATTTGAGACATAAATAAATTTGTAATGTGTTTTTACACTACAATTCATACCAATAGCAAACAGGTAATTTTGTTTTATATACTATTAAATTCAAAAACTTATCAAATGTACACAATTTTAATTTCGTCACTGAAATGCTGTATGATCGCTTGAACATTTTACAGCGAACAAACATACAAACATGCATATAATGTAATACAGAGGGTTGCATGTATGATTGAATACGTATGCACTCAGGTTTTTGTCAGCCTTACTCGACTCACATATAGGTTTGAACTGAACATCATACCAGTTGTGACTCGATCGAACATTGTTGCATGAGGTTGGGTGGATTTATTATAAATCCACCAGCAAAAATAATTGGGTATTTCGTTTGTATGGAGCGTGGCACTTCTTTGTACTATAGATTCTTTGGCCCAGGTTTACAAAATTATGAACAAGTGGAAAACTCTAGAGTTTTTATAAACAAGATTTTATTTTTACACTGTTTGTTTGACACAGCGCAAACATGTTTAGTAGCTCGATGTAAACGTATCCACGCTTACATAAGGATATAATAGCAAGGATATAGGTAAACATGTTCACGCTTATATATGTTGCATATATATATATAGGAATGGTATAAACATATTCACGCTTATATAAGGATTTAGTCGCAAGATATAAACGTGTTCACGCTTATATATGTTACGGTAGGAAGGATTAAATTCAATCTATATAAAAAAAAAATGTTTAAGGTTTTCTTTTATACTTAGCTCCACTGATGTACCAGTCCACTTGTAATGACTTCGAGTGTTTATTCCTAGATACTTCTGCGTACTCCTGATGCCTTTGAGTGTCGATCACTAAGTCTTTTCTGAAAAAATGCGTCGTCTTATATACGGTTCGACCAAACTGTAATGAAAGCAAATGCTTTAATAACATCAGGTTTGCATTTTTGTCGCCATTGCTGATTCCGCTTCCGCCGTAGTTCTTTTAATAATATACGCGAGCAGCAATTTCTGCATAAAGTTCTTTGCACATAAGCTCTTTTTAACATTTTTTGTGTTGTGCTTTTGTTTTGATTTGAAACGTTGTTACCTTAGTATCTGTAGTTCCAGCTTTTACTATTTATATTTATTTATTAAAATAAAATAAATATTAAAAAAAAATAAATAATAAATAAATAAGGCACGTATATTATTTATTTACTTAAATATATTTTATATTCCTTGTGAATATATTTTTAAAAATATATACAATTTTTAATTATATGCATGAGGCGCAGTTGCGTGAATGCGGGGTTAGGTTTTTTGGTAAGTTGTTTACATTTAATATATTAAATAAAAATTAACCAATTTTTATTTCAGATAACCACATCACACTGGTTACATATAGGTTAGAAATTGATAAAAATTTCTAAATGCGGAAATGGGTAAATTTTGAATAAACTTGTTAATTAATAGTTTCGTACACAATAATAACTAAAATTTGTTAAATTATTGTTATAAAACTATTTATTAAATTTATATCACAACTTTTATATACAAAATTGTAGTTAAGTGCTTTATTTACATAAATTTATCAAGCACACAAAACAAGAAAAACTTAAAAATTAGTCTCCAATGTATAATTTAAATGGTGGAGATTAAAATAGCAAATTAACATAATCTCGTTCTCTAAATCTCACAATGTATCCAAAGTTGGTGTCCAAAGTTGTATAAAAAAATCAATATTATATGATACACAAAATCGGTATTAATATGGATATTTATATCGTAGATCTCATAAGAACACACACATCTTGTGCGCATGTTTGAGCGTGTAAATAATAAAAATGCCCCTTAGTACATCTTCAACCTTACGTTTACTTGTAAACGAGATCAAACAGTTCGGGCATAAGTTGTATGCATTTGCTAAATTCCACCTTTTCCGACATCGAACTTCCATAATGAAGGTTGGTAAATCTAGTTTAATGTAAATTTATGAAAAAACTGGTGAAATATATAGATACAAAGAATGAGTTTATCGGAATAATATAGTGTGTGCAATAACATTTTAAGAAAACATATTGATTATGTATAATATTTCGGATTACTTGATATTGTATATGTTGGAATAGATTTGATCATGTTAACCTGAATACAAATTTTATTTTGTTCTTTAGCTCAATGTGTCTTATCCCGTTACGGGATGTCAAAAATTGTTTGAAATTGTAGATGAGCACAAATTACGTGTGTTTTATGAGAAACGTATGGGTCAAATTGTCGAAGCTGACTTGTTGGGTGAAGAATGGAAAGGATATATGCTGCGATTGTCTGGTGGTAATGACAAACAAGGATTTCCTATGAAACAAGGCGTTTTAACTCATGGTATGTAGAGTGGTGCCAATTGATTCAATTTTGATTTAATATCTATTTTTTTAAATATACGTGTAGGTCGAGTACGTTTGTTATTAAAAAAAGGTCACTCATGTTACAGACCACGCCGTACAGGCGAACGTAAACGAAAATCCGTACGTGGTTGTATTGTGGATTCCAATATGTCTGTGCTGGCTCTTGTAGTTGTCAAAAAAGGGGAAAATGAAATAGCAGGCCTCACTGATGTCGTTGTTCCTCGTAGGTTAGGTCCAAAACGAGCTGGCAAAATTCGGAAACTCTACAATCTATCCAAGGAAGATGATGTTCGTCGTCTAGTAGTTCGCCGCCCATTACCAGCAAGAGACAGCAAAAAAGCAACGTCGAAGGCACCAAAAATTCAACGACTTGTTACTCCAGTAGTTTTGCAAAGAAAACGTAGACGTATTGCTTTGAAAAAGAAAAGGCAATCTATATCAAAGGAAGCTGCAGCAAGCTATGCCAAATTGTTGGCGCAAAGGAAGAAGGAATCTAAGGTTCGCCGCGAGGAAGCTAAACGAAAGCGATCAGCATCAATTCGGGAATCTAAAAGTTCAATTTCAAGTGATAAAAAGTAGTTGCAACTAAAACAGCAATAAAACATGTCACATAAATGCTAAATATGTTTTCTACCTTTGTTAATGTTAATGTACGTATTTTAAAATGGCTTTAGTTGTAACCTCCTTGGCTTGGTCGATAGGATTAATTGTTTGTCAAAAAATGAATTTAATATTTAAGCGACATGAGAATCATTACGGCGCATGTGAAACGAATAAATATGCATTTTTGTAGAAGAAAGTATCTGGTCTGAAGGAGAAGCAAAGTTGATTTAAAAATATGGACAAAAAATTTAATTTAAAATGTTTTTTTAGCATCATTTAATTTTAAGCATATTTATTGGTACATTTTATGAAACAATCTAAGAATTGGTTTTTTGAACACTGCATAGCTTGAGAGAAAATGTAGCAAGAAATATTTGTAAAATAAGGGATTATATGAGAAATGAACAGACATTTAATATAAGTAAAGTTTTCTGCAGAAGTTTGAAATAAAATTCAACTTTTACTGTTATTTTAAAACATTTATGTACATGATTATAAGCATTAAGTGGAACCGCCTCTGTAGGGGTAACGGATAAATTAAGGGTTTTTTCAGTTACACATGCAGTGCTTTCGACTTAAACGTCAAAAACGACAGAGGTTCCAGAAACGTATTGGAGCCAGTGTGTGTATTCTATATTAACGAAGACAGGGTATCAATGAAACGTTTAACTAAAGATAGTATATAGTCATAATCACTCACTTTAATTAATCATATGAACTCCTTAAACTGCATTTGCATTGCATGCGGATTTTAACTTGCGTGTTCGTATTTACGCTCTGAATCAAACAACTACCTCGTATGAAAATTGCATTTTATATTTTCATTTTAAAAATATCACGCAGAATTTGTGCGATACTCTTGATTTTTATATTATATAACGCAAGTATATCAGTTATTTGTGAGTTTTAAAATAAAAAACAAATTTTAAGAGTTATTTCTGCGCGAAAAAATAAAAGGCATATAATAATAATTATTTTTGATGAATATAATAAAAATCAAATTTAATTATTATTTTTTGAGTTTTTTTTAAAATGCAAATGATAACAGTTATAAGATGATTTTTATTTTTTTTATGATAGCTATTATGGTCCCTGAATTTTTATCTTTTTATTTTACTTACACAGGTTGATCAGTTTTCGAATATGTTTTAATAAAATTATTATAATAAATTTAATATATTTAAATATTTATTTAATATACGTTAATAAAATTATTATTACAATAAGTTTATTATAACAAAAATATTATAACAACTTTAATATATTTAAAATTTTTATTTATTTATTTTATCCACACGGATTTTTTTGCAAAAATGAGAGCGTATACTATTATTATTTAAAACAATAGAATAATGAATGGGATTCGTTGAATAATAATCGTTTAAAATAATTTGTTGTAATTATGCGTAGGCAAAACATCGCTTCTTTTTTATTGTAACATCTGCGCAATTATAAACTATTATTACAGTTTATTAATTGACGGACATTACTATCCTAATAAATACAATATTTTTTTAATATAAATTATAAATATTAGTTATTTAAAATGTGTATTTTTTATTTAATAATATTTAATAAAATAAAACAAACATTACACACATATAATTTTCTGCATAAAATTCCAAAAATAACACAAAATTGTACACTCAAAGCAAATTCTATCATCCCTCAAACAACTTGTGCGATGCACGTTTGTTTGCATTTTGTGCTCTCACTTTAACTTTTGTTCACGAAGTCTTCGAAGAATTTCACTGCGAATAAATATCGCAAATCTGGATATTCGAAGACTTCGGATTTACAAGAAATCCGGATTTATTTCCAACTTCAAAGATTTCGTTGAAATCCCATTATTCGAATAATTGAAGAACTTCGATTTTTAAAAAAAGTCGAATATAAACAGCACTACTCTAGAGTAAGATTTATTTCATATATTTTTACTTATTTGATTAATAACTTCTATAATTGTCAAGAAATAAATATGGGACAACTGCATTACAGACATGCAGAAAATTTATTTTGTTACTAAATAACAAATGGTATTAAGATAAAAACTCGATAATTCAGAAAACAAATACTTGAACGTCTTAAGATGCATTCACATCAATGCGAACGCTTGTGAACGAACGAATATTTGCAGATAATCATGCTTACAAAAATTCGTTCGTTCGCCAGAGCTCGCTTTGGTTTGGACCAAAGAATACTTTTACAAGAACGGAAACTCCGCCCACTTTCATTTAAACGAAGAGAAATTTATTACATTTTGGCACACGTATGGAATACATGTGATTTTACCACGATAACCACGGTTGCCACTTATGGTACTTTAGTACCAAAATTGGTACTTTTTTTTTCGTTTGGTACTCTGGTACTCATGTTCAAAAAATGGTACATTTTCGGCGACCCAACTTTATTGTGGATATTTTCAATTAATTTTTTTTATAAATGTAACTTATATTGTTTTATACTTTTTGTACATTTTATATAAATTGTATTTTCTTATAAAAAGACAATAGAAAAATTTTGGACCTTTTTTTACAGAAATGGCACCTTTTTAAACCAATTTTGGTACAGAAAAAAATTTTCAAGTGGCAACCGTGACGATAACATCGAATTACTCTCTTTTGGGGTTGCAGTATATTAATTTCTTACTACTTGCTTATTATATGCTTTCCTTTTAATAATATAAAAAAATTGTGCGTACCTTATTTGGTTAATAATATCACATCACCACGGTTGCCACTTGAAAATTTTTTTCTGTACCGAAATTGGTTTAACAAGGTACCATTTCTGTAAAAAAAGGTCCAAAATTTTTCTATTGTCTTTTTATAAGAAAATACAATTTATATAAAATGTACAAAAAGTATAAAACAATACAATATCCACAATAAAGTTGGGTCGCCGAAAATTTATAATTTTTTGAACATGAGTACCAGAGTACCAAACGGAAAAAAAAGTACCAATTTTGGTACTAAAGTACCATAAGTGGCAACCGTGCACATCACGTAAACAAAATATATATTGTAACAACATAAATATATGATAAATAAATATATAAATTAATATATAAACATTTAAATCAGTCAACTTTAATCAGTTTAGTTTGCTTAATCATGTAATATGTATTCATAATTCATAATTTTAATTAATTTTTTCATATAAATTTTAAAGTATTTTGATTTATTATGTTCGGCAACAAACTTTTGTAGAAGAGGATTTTTTTATAAAATTAAAAAAACAGTATTGAATATATCTTATTAATGATTTATATTTTCTTAAATATTTTTTGAGCGTATAAAACATTGTTTCTAATATAATATTGAAATAATATCATTAAATGCTGTTATGATGTGTAATTAATAATAAAAACCGAAGCTACTACCAAAATTCTTTTTTATACGGCAACTCTCAAGTGGTGAATGATGAATTATATTTCTCTGCATAGGGAAATTTTTTAAATTTAGTGCTGAAAAATCTATTGATGGGTGGGGGTGTACGCGCATTCGCTCTAAATTTATGTGATGAATGGTACATATTTTTAGTTTGTATGCATTTCTAACTGATCAGTAGAGATGAATCTGTTGATGGGTGAGGATGCACGCGCATTCACTTCAAATGTATGTGGTGAATGATGCGTATTATTCGTTTACATACATTACTGTATGATTAGAATTATATGAATTTTTTAAGTAGGAATATTTTTATATGCAATTTAGTAAAAAAGTATTTTATAAATATTGAAAAATTTTTAATATACCATCATATATATAAAATATATTTATTAATAAATATTAAAGTATTTAAGAATATTAGCTGGGTTTAATTAAAAGAAGTACAAGTTGTACTCATAATTTATTATTTTTAAGAATTGAAATAATAATAACAATAATTTAATAAACATACAAATTTATTAAAGGCATTTGTTTAAAACAATATATATTGTTTGCGTATATAAGGAATAATATTTAAATAAAATAAATTGTCTTTTTTGAATAATATACTAAAAATATGTTCAATATGATATTAAAATCTGGGACTAGATTATTGTACTGGCTAATTATAAATATTAATTAATATTTTTACATGTAAAAAATTAAAATTTAAAAACAATATTAGAAACAAATTTATAGCATTTTACTTAATAAAAGAATAAAATTGTGATATAGTAGTTAATTTTGAAAAATATTCTTATAATAATAACATGAAATTATGTGAATTTTTATTCAGAAAACACAAGTGAAGGTGTATGTAGTTAATTAAATCGAAAGGCTATCGCATTTATAGATATATTTCCTTATATATTTGAATATAAAAAACTATTAAAAAATTTTTAATATCTATGTAATTTAAATTTGTGCACATTAGAAAAGAGTACAAGTTTAACCTTTAATTTGATATATCATGCACTACTATGGTAATTTCAAAAATAGAGTTACGGGGCCATATGCAGGATGATGTTTTGAGAAAAGTCAAAATAACGGTTTTTTGCAAATAACTCAAAAACGGTACACAGGAAAAAAAATCGTTGTGATTTTCGAGTTCTAGGGAAAATTTCCCTATAAGAAATATAAGTCTCGTCTTTGGAAAACAAAACTTTTAATTATTTGTAAACTAGTGTTATTTAAATCCTGCAGTGGTTTTACGACAAAGGATTGAATATTTATTACATATATATTTAGAAGGTTAATCAGTTGCACGTATAGAATATAAATACTCTATAGCATCAGGATATATATGTTTATGACATGTATATATCCTAGTAATAGAATACATATTTATAATTATTTAAATCCTGCGGTGGTTTTACGACAAAGGATTGAACATTTATTAGATATATATTTAGAAGGTTATTAAGTCGCACGGATAGAATATCAATATTCCGTAGCATCAGAATATATATGTTCATGACAAATATATATTCTAAATAATTAAGGATAATTCTTTTTCTTTCCTTCCACTAGGTGACCTAAGAAAAGCTACGCAGAATCCACGAAGCTCATGCACAGACTCCACGACATCCGT